TAAGCCACTTCTGGCGGACCACAGAAGCACACTGAAATGCCATTTACCTTCCCACCGGAGCAGTACCTATTTATCTATTTGCACTTTGACGTGCTTTCGAATTGCTAGGTTGACAGGAGCAGGGACTGGGCAACGGGAGCTCACTCCGTCGCAGGGATTCGAACCGCTGACTTCCTGATAGGCAAGTCCTAGGCTCTGTGGTTGAACCCACAGTGCCACCCACGTCCCCAAAAGACTCCTTACACTGCATTTAAAACTAAAATCACATTTGGGTAGAAACTGTTTCTCAGGTGGCTAGTCCTAGTCTTTATAACCCTGTACCTTCTTCCAGAAGGCAGAAGCTGAAAGAGATCATTTCCGGGGTGTGCACTATCCTGCGCTATCTCTGCAGCTTTCTTATGGCACCTGGAAGCATAGATTTGATCCAAGATGGGACACGTGCACCCAATTATTCTCTCTGTAGTCTTTACAACCCTGGGCAGCATTGCTTTTTCCCTGACCGTGCAGCTCCGAAACCATACACACTGCCACAGCTTACTTAGTAAGTTTACACACAGTCACTTTTACTACTGGCATTAAGACATACACATTTGTGCTACAGCTCAAATCATGCAATGGAGCAGGGAGCTTATTTATATGGGCATGTGTGGAAGAACAAGGTTCTGCTTAACAATTTAATGCCCCTATCATTCCTTGCCCTATGCATAGAAAGTTAAATTTATAGCAACCACAATCAAGTATGCAAGTAGCCACCGAAGCTAATTTTAATATCCTCCCAAGAAAGCCGCATATAATAAATACTAGTCATACCGACAAGTTCTTCTTTCCATCTTTCCCTCCCCCACAACTTGTACCTTCAATGCAGCTGGAACTTCTATAGATCAGAGGACACTGTCAGTATAGGCTGACCAATCTCTGAGGGTTTTTTCTCCTTCTCTTCAAGATACTCTGTGTTAACAGCTAGAGGGGGTTCAATCAGCACTGCTTTGATCTCGGCTGGAACTATAATTATTTAACATTGTTACAAGGATTTCTATAATCCATCCTACCATTAAATCCCTTTTACACCCTCATCTTCTGAAGCCTAATCTGCATCTGTACACTCAGTTTGTCTCTTCAGCTGGTTTCATCAGGCTCCAGCATTCTCCAACACCCAGACTGATGGCTCCTTTTTTTTAATGAAATCATTTTCTTTCAAATTGAAAACTGCAAAAAGGTCTTGTGCATTTGCTACCTTTTGATGAGATAGCAATATAACACCAGTACATTCGGCAGTTTGCTCCAAACCACCTTCCATTTAATATAATAAAATTCATTTTGGCATTTGTGTTCTTATTAAGCAGAATATTCCGTATGTTAACATGCCGTGATTGAACTCTTATGCCATCCGTGCATATATTTACACTAACGTATACTGCAAGACCATATGGAAAGCTGCACTGTTCTGCATAGAAAATTCAGACAACTGACTAGAAATGACCACCACTTCTTAGCACATACACACAAACTCAATAAAAGAATTTCAAAATGTGAGAAATGCAAACAGATATTGAGGGCTGAACAAAAGTCTTGAAAACCCTTGTTGAAATCCTTAATCTATCACAAACATTTTTAAAGGCAGACAAGTAGGGTAAGTAACGTAACAGAGTCACTGTAATATGCCAAAATTATGAATGAGCTGGTGAAAGAGACACCACAATTAACTACAGGAGATTCTTAAGTATTTCCTAAACGGCAAGGAAGGCTGACTACTGCATGTATCTGCACCTTAAAAAAGGTAATGATCCACATTGGTATGTGGAGAATACAAGCCTGCATAAGGAGCTTCAATCTCAGTTTATTGTAACATTGAAGAAAATCAAGAGAATAAGAGTGACATCACTTCTATACATACTTGTATTCGTATAATTTAATGCTGACTTCTCTGCTATCATAACTCCGTTTTTAACATTGTACCTTTATTGTTTCCTGCCCTAAGCTCTCTTAAGGGACAAATATAATAAATAAATAGTGAATAAACAAACAAAGAGAAACTGCTGAAGCAAAAGCAGTTACTATGGTGTGTATTTTTTTGTTTTTATAATTTAAACTGCCCTGTGATCTTCAGATGGACGGTACAGAAAATTAATTAATTAATTAATTAATTGGTATCTTTAGGATTATTTATGTGTATAGTATTATATTTTTGAAAACACAAACACCAAACTTAAGGGGTTTTGATTGGCACAACACCAAATATTTCAGATTCCTAGCTGCAAGGTACAAATTGTTGTTGTTATTGTTGTTGTTATTCCATGACACAATAAAAAATTGGTCAAACATATTAAGATATTACACTTATCTTGGTAGTTCATTCAGGATCATATGCTTTAGTGACAGTAATGCTTATAAGGCAAAATTCTGACCACCAATGAACAAAATAAAGTCGTATTTCACAGCTATGATGTCATCAAAGGGCTGTATTTCATGGCTATAACGCCTCTGAAAATATATACAGTATATAAAATAATATCCGTAAGAAGCTGCTTTTCCAAGTCTGCCTGAGGTCCAGCAAGGTGGACCTCCTTAAATTCCATTTACTGTACATTAGAATTTGAATATCAAGGAAGCCTAAATAGCCTGAGGGTGGAAAAAGCATTTTGCACCTCATATGCTGTAGCATATTTGCTATATTATATGCATTATACTATAAATGAATTGCTCATGTTATCTCCATTACTTTCCCCAATATATCGGCATCGCCTTCCATTCACATATTCATACCTGCATATTTTATTTGACCTGTATATATTTAGAGATGGAACTTATACAATAGACAAACTGTTAGTGCTAGAAGCCCCAAACCCTGAAAATGATGTTTGCTGTTTCATTCAGCCTTAATGCAGCATCACAAGAATATCAGCCTTGAGCTATCTGTCTTGCTAAAAAAAAAAAAGAAATCACTTCACTTTTCCAGAAAGGAAAACTGATAGGATTATTTTCATGATAAATTAATTTTGCCATGTAATTGCAATTATGACTTCTAATTAATGAATGGTTTCAGCTTTACTAACTAGGTCAGCATTTTTCTTTATAATATATATCAGCTCTCTCTTTAGATAAGTGATATGATACATCTAGACTCTGGAGAAATAATAGCAAAGCCTTTCTTTAAGTACTAGGTTTAGATGCTTGAAAGGAGCATGGTACATTCTGCCAGGTAATTCTTTATTGTAGTTTGTATCTGAAACAGAAAGCAGGGTAAACATTCCCCTTTTAAAATTCAAACATATTCAAAAAATGTTTTGAACAATTTACATTTACACTTCAATCTGCACACAGTCACTCATCTGCAGGGGTAAGCAGCATGGTGCCCTCCAGATGTTGGACTTACAGCTCCCATCAGCCCCAGCCAATGATCAGGGTGATGAGAATTGCACTCCAACAACATCTGGAGGGCACCACTCTGGATACCCTGGCTCTACAGGATTTGATTCTTTGGCATGCCATTAAACAGATGACTGGTTCTACTAACTCCAACATCTCTAATCACCTGTTGTGTGGGAGGAACTGAAACCAAGCTCTCATTGCCCCCAAAAGGTTATAATTGCACTCAAAGAAAATTGGAATAGGCTTAAAAAAAAATCAGCACTCAGGTTTGATACACATATTTGAGCAATCGCTGTCTGAAACTCTGGTATGCCTCAAGCAAGCGTTAAGCTCAGCCAGCAAAGGATCCAGATAGTGTCATATTGAATAGAAGTTCCATATTACATGACCTAATATTTTTATTCATCGTTTTCATGACCGATCTGTAAGGCAAAACTAGACTATGAGAGAATGGCAAGCCCATGTTTGTTTACTAATCCAAAGAGCTGAAACCCATGACTTTCTCTTCCAAGTTCAGCACCCTAACTACTGCATCATACTGCCCCTACAGAGTATTGCCTGTACAATGGTAACTCAGGTTAAGTACTTAATTCGTTCCGGAGGTCCGTTATTAACCTGAAACTGTTCTTAACCTGAAGCACCACTTTAGCTAATGGGGCCTCCTGCTGCCGCTGCGCCACCGGAGCCCGATTTCTGTTCTTATCCTGAAGCAAAGTTCTTAACCTGAAGCACTATTTCTGGGTTAGCGGAGTCTGTAACCTGAAGCGTACGTAACCCGAGGTACCACTGTACTGGAAGACTACAGAAGAAGCAGAGAATGGAGAAAGCTTTGTTTCTCATCCTCTTTGAAAAAAATCTTAGTAAGAAAATCTATCTTTGCCTCCCTCTCTAGCTGATTTTGGCATTAGTTTCTGGAAATCAGGGTTTGCCTACTAGCGGGAAATGTAAAAGCATGCTTAAGGGCAGGATGTAAAGTGTGTGAGACAGGAGCTAGGGCAGAAGTTCCCAACTGTGGTCCATGGACCACCCATGATCCATAAGCTTCATTCAGCTGGCCCATGACATGAAGAAAAGTAGGAACAGTGGCTGTGAGCAGCAGGCTTAGTGCATTGATTTTTAATTGGATTTTTATTGTTTATTTTATTTGTAATATTGTCTTTTATTATTTAATATTGTAATATGTGATACAATAAATATAAGAAATAAAAATAGTAAAAAAAAAAAAAAGCGGTTAGAAATCATACAGCTACTAGCAGAAGGCACTGCAATTGCCACAACAGGCAGAAAAGCCAATAAGTGGTCTTAGCAATTTTCAACTGGTCTGTAGGGGGAAATGTTTGAAAACCACTGAACTAGGGGTAGAGAAGTAGGAAGATATACCGGTAACTTGTTGAGAAAAGGAGTGAAGCAAGTAGGAAAGAAGATGAGAAAGCAGCTGGAAGATTTGAGGAAAAAAGTTAGTAGTTTAAGTGGAATGGGAATAACACTGGAATATAGAGAAGGAATAAAATGGAATGTGAATAGGAGCATAGGAAGCGGCCTTACACTGAGTCAGGTCCATCTAGCTCAGTACTGTCTACATTGGCAGAGACTCTCTGGGGTTTCAGACAGGTTTCTCTTCCAGCGCTACCTAGAGGTACCAGGGTTCAAACCTGAGATCATCTGCATGCAAAGCAGGTGCTATACCACTGAGCTGTGACCCTTCACACAGGATGTAAAGATGTAAGAAGGGACTACAAGGAAGGAAGGAAGAAGTGGGACATGGAAAGGATAAATAGGGCCAGGGCAAAATGGGTACAAGGGTACGGGAAATGACACATGGAAGTTTGGGTGGAGAAAGGAAGTGGAAAAGGAGTAAATAGGAGCTGGAAGGTACAGGAGCTCTAATGGTACATTGTCAGAAAATGCAAACACATAGCACAAGATCCAGTTTTCCATTAAAATCCAGGCACAAAGAAGCTGAAATAGTACAGTTACCTAAAATGGAAGCATTTTGAGACTGTCAGATCATCGGTATGCTGCCTTTCATTCAGAGAATGCCAAAGCAGTTCACAGGAAAAAAATTAAGAAAAAGAAAACGCACATTCTAAAACATTAGCATTAGACACTGAAGTGCAGACTGACAAACCTAAGCACATGGAGCAATCCTATGCACAAGAAGCTGGCATAATCCAAGACAGCATAAAGTAAAGGAACCCTGACAGTTAAATCCAGTCATGAACGACTCTGGGGTTGCAGCGCTCATCTCGCTTGATTGGCCGAGGGAGCCGACGTTTGTCCGTAGACAGTTTTTCCGGGTCATGTGGCCAGCGTGACTAAGCCGGTTTTGGCGAAACCAGAGCAGTGCACAGAAACGCCATTTACCTTCCCGCCGGAGAGGTACCTATTTATCTACTTGCACTTTGACGTGCTTTCGAACTGCTAGGCCAACATAAAGTTAAACCAGATCCAAACCCCATTCAGCAACAGTTCTGTTGTTCTGCCTAAACCAGTGGGGGGGGGGGACAACAATACTTTAAAATAGTGTTCTACACTAGATTGTCAGGTCACGTGACTGAGCTGAATGGGCTTATGATTCAGCCCAAGTCTGCTTCTATTTGATCCTGCCACCAGGATGCCCCTCTGGGGTGGGGGTGGGGACTTACACTGGCTTTGGCCCAGTCAGGTTTGGCTTAGCCAGCTGAGGAACAAGTTACACTGGTGTATCTTTGGCTGAGCCAGGGTTGGGAACTTAACCCTGGCTTAGCAAGGAATTAGCTGGCTGAACCTGAGATCTGCTGCACTTATTGCGGTTCTTGCCATAGGATTGCACCCTAATCCTATGGATTGCATCCTCCAATGCTGAAACATACAGTCAACATTTTAAGTACATATACCCCATGTTCAGCTGTTTTCACAAGCTGAAAACTAGCTTATCAAACAGAGGGATACTTAGTAGCTCCTATATGATAAATATTAGACATAACATGCACCATAATCCTATTTATTGCCTGACCACTGCATCTGGTAAATTATGTATTATTTGAATTAACAGGAACATAAAAATTTTAATGGTTGCACTGAAAATATCAACAAATATATTGTTTCAATCGTTGTAGTTAGATTATTCCATCTGCTCTAGTATGTCCAGAGAAGAAAAAGGCAGGCAAGGCAGATTCCAACAGCACTGAAGAAAATTTCACTAGAGAAAATATTATTATGTGTAAAAACATGGGATACATAATTGAAATCAGTAGAAACACTACATAATTTCAGAAAGAATTGGCATTCTCCTAGCTCACTCTTTGTTTGCATGTACTTGTTGGACTGTAGTTTTCCTTCTAAATGATTCCATGTTGGGCATACTTGTTCAGTATATTAACACACCCGTCCTTCAACAGTTCAAGAAAAATTGTTGCTATGCAGGAATAATCTTGGCAGAATTAATGAGAAAAACACAACAAAGAGCAAAATGGTTGTGGACCAATTACATGCCCCTTTTGATTCTCAACCCATCTGCTTCCAGAAGCTGACATTGTTTCCTAGTCCTATGCAATTACCAGAGTATGTGATTGCCTTTATGACCAAAATACAGTGGAGACAGCTGAAAAGTGCAAAGCTTCCTGCCAGATTCTGCGGGTCCCCTGGTGCATGAAACTACAAGAAACAGTGTATTGTAATGCAGATGTCTGTTGATTCCCAATAGAATTTCAAACTCTAAGTCCTTCACTGCACAGCCAACAGAAAGTTGAACTTCTAAATGTCTTTACTATATTATGTACCATGTCCAAAAATGGGATTTTCCCCTGACAGCTTGTCCCTTATGCTTATGTGTTTACATTGTATTGCCACACTTATGTTTATGAGTCCAATAAGAGAAACAATTACCCACAAAAGACTTTGACCCTTCTGTTCACACTTAGGGGGGGCTCTGACCAGGGAATCTGTGGTGCTCCTTCTGTTCATCTAACACAGTAATCTGACCTCAACCCATGCTATTCTCCTCAACACTCTTGTGGCAAAAAGAGAGAATAGCAGGGAAGTACATTTGGGTGTGAAAAGAGATGCTCTGACTCTACATACACACAGTCAGAGGTCAGAAGTACAAAACTGGTTTTCCTGGGACATGCAGCATCGCAGCTCTTTCTTTCAACATGAAGAGAAATCTCCTAAGATGTACCATAGCTTTTTTTTTTTTTTGTTCTTCTTAGTTTGGCATCTGTGTCCTAAACTGGAAGTAGTCATACCTCATGTTACAGACGCTTCAGGTTACGTGTTTTCAGGTTATGGACCGCAGGAAACCTGGAAGTACCGGAACAGGTTACTTCCAGGTTTCACTGCTCGTGCCTGTGCAGAAGCGGTAAATCACGCTTTGCGCATGCGCAGAAGAGCCGAATCGTGCCAGTGTGGCACTTCAGGATGCAGACGCTATGGGTTGTGGACGTGCCTCCATCACAGATTACGTCCGCAACCCGAGATTCCACTGTATAGAGAACCACCAAATTACAGACCACCAAAATGCAAGTGCTCTTAAAACCCCCAACCTATTTTCATAGTACAGTTTTTCCTTCAGTAGTGGATGTTTTCTCATAACCTAGCACCCTGCTTTGCACACTACAGACCCTGCAGTGGTCCCAGGCAGTGACTTGCAGATAGGGAGCAACAGGCAGGGCACCATCTCAGGACACCGTTGATGGTATTGGTGGGGGGGGCTTGCAGTGGAATGACATGTGCTGGATGTACACTCATTCTTCAAGTATCTGGACATAGCACCATTGGCAAAACCGTCATGGGTTGAAAGACTTCTGCAGAGCCCCTGCCTCCCACTCCTCAATAGCAAAATTCCAGCATTCATTCCTGGATTCCTAAGTCAAGGTATTAACATTTTAGGCCAATAGCCAATAATCTACCCAATGCCTAATAATTGATAACCCTGATACAGTATTTGTAAGTCAGCTTTGATCCAAAGAATCCCACAACTAGATGAGCACAACCAACACAGTTTGGGAGTTGTGCTTCTCCAACACCAGTCCCCATGTGGTAAACCAGTGTAATCCTATACATTGGGTTATATCCAAGGTAAGTGCTCCTCAGAGTATACCCACTGAAAACAATGGACATGACTAATTTCAATGGGTTGTATCCAATTTAGTTCTACTTGGAGCAGCCCCACTGAAATTAAAGGAGTCAAGTTAGTAATGTCCATTATTTTCAATGAGTCTACTCTAAGTAAAACTAATACAGTCGTACCTGGGTTGTCGAACAGCTTTGTACTCAGACGTTTTGGCTCCTGAATGCCACAAACCCGAAAGTGAGTGTTCCGGTTTGCAAACGTTTTTTGGAAGCTGAACATCTGACGTGGCTTCTGATTGAGTGCAGGAAGCTCCTGCAGCCAATCAGAAGCTGTGTCTTGGTTTTCGAACCATTCTGGGTTCGAAAGGACTCCCGGAATGGATTAAGTTTGAGAACCAAGGTACCACTGTATTGGATATAACCTAATGGGTCTACTCCAAGTATCATTTTGTTGGATACAATCTGTTCTCTGTATAGAAGTATGCCCCACTCAGTTCAATGGAACATGCTTCCAGGTATAGGATTGTGGTTTGGGAGGAATTTCAAAAACACTGATCCTATAGGATGGGAGGCTGGCTTTCAGAGAAAAACAATCCATTGAGTATGCAGCTCATGGAACCCAGCTCATGTTTCAGGGAAGAAAACTATGGCAAAATATTTTGTTAATGCAGAGTGAAGGATAGAACAAGTTTTGTCTTTGTAAGAACCAATGGTGGTTCACTGTAGTGAGGCTTGTGAGGTACGGCTCCCCTATAACTTCAAAACATTTCAATAAACGGCAGAAGGGGGCGTTAGATTGCCTGCTGTCTTCCAGTTCTTGGGATACTTCATTTAGATGATGGAAGCTGGAATTACATGTTTATGATTCAATGAGGTTCCCCTACCCTGCCCCTCATCTCCAGTTTATCCAGCAACAGGGGTGTCAGGCTTTCTTCTTTTAATCCACTTCACTATAGAAGGTGTTATTTTGACTGCCTCTTGTTTCATAAAGGACTCTGAAGTCGTAGTAATTTTGGCACTTTGTTATAATTTTTCTATGACACCCCCCCCCAACACACACACACACTTCCTCACATACTACACCAACACCCAGCCTCATTTTCATATGGATACAAAGCATCAGGATAAAATGATGGTTCATTATAGTGGTACAGAGCTCTTATCTTCATCCAGCAAGAGTCATTTCCTTCCCAAGATTGAAATGCAAATGTGAAAATTAATGATAACTGCATTATCTGATAGCTGAGATAATACCGATTCACCGGCAGAGTAACACACAGCCGCCCTATGATTTCCTCTGCTTCTTCACAATATTCTTCTTACTGTCAGACTATATCTATGGTTAACTGTGTTTCATGGATTTTTGTTAATTTACATCAAATAGCATTTTCCAAGATCCCATATCTACCACATTTCCCCAATCAAAAAGGAAACAAAATCAGGACTGTAATCTCAAAGTCCTTCTCAGGATTGATTTTGTAAAAAGGAGATCCTGCATTTTCAGTGTCTGTTTCCTAACTAGCCATCCTAATGTACACCAAACACTCTACCTGTTTTTCCCCTCCCTGAATTCATTTATAGCACCAAATAAAATAGTAATTTATAAAGAGCGAGAGGGTGTTGCAGAAAACCTATTAAAATAAACATTTAA